ACCCCCCCCCCCGCCCCCCCCACCAGTGGTGGTGGTGGTGGTTGTGTGTGTGTGTGTGTGTGTGAGATTTCTCGATTTCTGTCTCTCTGTCTTCCTCTGTCTTTCTGGTGAGCACACACACCCTATAGCAAAAACCTCTCCAAAAAAAAAATTGGAATTCCCATCTTCTCTTGAAAATCTAGACTATCTTGGAACACAGGCTCACATTCTCACAGGCCATGCTAAGGCCATGCTAACAGTTGCCTGTAGCAAGGAACAGTAGTAGCCTTTGTCTCCAGGTGCCTCTCCATTTCCTGCAATCTCCACCTTATCTTGTGTTCCTACCATCGGGAGGCATCAGAGCTTTTCTTTTTTTTTTTTTTGGGGGGGGAGAGGTTTTTCCCATAGGGCGCATGCTCGCCAGACAGGGAGAGACAGAGAGACAGAAAGCGAGAAATCACCCCCCAGGGGGGGATGGCCATGCAACAATCCCTTCTCCTCCATTCTCCTCTTGGGATCTTGGGCATGCACGCACACGCACTCAGCGTGAGTTTTAAGCCACCAGGTCCGGGACGCGAACCTCAGTCGACTGCGTGGGAGTCTAGCAACATAGTCATTACGCTAACTGCTGGTCCCTGGAGGCATCAGAGCTTTTGACTCTTTATTTCGGTCAGGCTGAGGTGCAAATTGCCCTAGTCCCACTATCAGAAAAGCAGAAAACAAAACGAACTAACCTCCTACTCTGCCTTAATTCTCTGTGCATTTCAGTAAAGGCAGGGGAGCTGTGGAATTGCTCATGTGAATGAATGCATTCTGCACTTTCTCAGTACTTAGGACTGCATAGCAGGTTGCCTCCCATGTAGTGAAAATACAGTACAATTTCTCAATAGCATCAATTGACTCCCACTAGGTGGGAAGGTGTCTCTAGTTAAAGGAGATGAGGTGTCACTGGCTTTACTCCACAAGTGGGCAAACACTTTATGCCTTTAACCTGTGTGCCATGGTAGAGTCTCACTGGTATCTGTTGCACCACAGGCGGCTCGAAACTGTTTGGTAAATGATCAAGGAGTTGTTAAAGTATCTGACTTCGGTCTGTCCAGGTGAGTGTGCCCTTTTCCTCTTTCCTAATTAAAAATAGCATAATACAAATGTGAGGCAGTGATAATAGTTTTTCTTTTTCTCATTCTAGTGTTTTTCACCATATTCCTATGTTTCCCCTCTGAGTTATTGAAGCCAATTTTTTCATCCTTTTGTTGTATTGTTCTGTCCCTCTCCTCCCCTCTCCCTACTCCTCCTCTTTTTGTATGAAAGAGACAGACAGAGAAAACAGGAGGAGAAAGGGGGAGAGAGATTTTTGACAATATCTCATCACCACAGCCCTCTACGGCAGCCTCCCAGTTAGCTAGGATTACAGGTCACACCTGCCATGATGCCCACCGTATTCAGGCGGGCCTGGGATATACATATGAGCTTCCCACGTGGCCCCAGTTTCACATGGCTGGCCTCCCCCTACTCCATTTTAAAAGCTATTTCCCCAATGCCTTCCTTGAGCCGTTAATCTGTTCACTTTATTCCATCTCCCTTCTTTCCTAATTAGAGAAATCCCACTGGCAACTATGGAACAGAAGGGAGGGAAGAAGAATAGAGTTAGAAAAGAGGGATAAAGAAGAGGGAGGGAGTACCTATTAAATCTTATTTCACTTTTTCCTTCCTGTAACCATATTGTCTATCAGGAAAGCTAAATCAGACATGAAGACAGGAAATCTGTTAAAGTAACATTTGTAAAAGTCACTGGTTGACAAACAGAGACTTTTCAGACACCCTGTAAGGGTGCATTTGTGAAACTCTTGTGACTGCCAGAAAAACTTAAGCAAATAACAAGCTCTCCAAATCATAATGGTAACAAGTCCTCAATCCCTTGCAGGTATGTCCTGGATGATGAGTACACAAGCTCGGTAGGCTCCAAATTTCCAGTCCGGTGGTCTCCACCAGAGGTTCTTATGTATAGCAAATTTAGCAGCAAATCTGACATCTGGGCTTTTGGTAAGTGGATAAGATTATACAGACTATACACCTCAAAAGAAGAGAAATATGAAGAGGAAAATCCATACTTTGCAACTGGCACAGAGAGATGATTCATTCTTGCTTTCATTGATCTAATCCTTAGGGAGTCCTTGCTATGTGTCAGGCACCAGAGGGGTTTCCAAGGATAAAAAGAGTAAGCTGGACACAATCCCTGCCTTCTCAGAGTTTATTGCATATCTAGGGAAACAAACAATTCATTCAGTATTCAATAGCATCTGAATACTGATTATGTACCAGGCACCCTGCCAGACCCTATAAAAACACACACGGGAACCAGCAGTTAGCGTAATGGCTATGTTGCTGGACTCCCATGTAGTCGACCGCGGTTCGCGTCCCGGACCCAGTGGCTGGATACGCACACCAGGTACGTGTGCATGCATGCCCAAGATCCCAAGAGGAGAATGGAGGAGAAGAGATTGCGGCATGACCATCCCCCCTGGGGGGGTGATTTCTCGCTTTCTGTCTCTGTGTCGCTCTCTGTCTGTCTGGCGAGCGCACACGCCCTATAGCGAAAACCTCTCCAAAAAAAAGAAAAGAAAGAAAGAAAAAACACACACAAATAAGATACTGTCTGTCATCTAGAGGAACTGATAGTCTGGTGCAACCCTGATCTCTACCCCATGTGAAGTATTATAGAAGTCTGGACAAAATGCAAAAGGCACAGAGGGGGGAACCAGCTGATTCTAGTATTTGAGGTTGATCTAGGAATAACTAGGGCCCCAACTACCCTGAAAGAGTGCAAACCAACGTAATACCTTTTTGTGCATCTTACAGGGGTTTTGATGTGGGAGATTTATTCCCTGGGGAAGATGCCATATGAGAGATTTAGTAACAGTGAGACTGCTGAACACATCACTCAAGGCCTGCGTCTCTACAGGCCTCATCTGGCTTCAGAGAGGGTATATACCATCATGTACAGCTGCTGGCATGAGGTAAGTGTTTTATTGTGAACTCTCAAATTATTTCCTTAAACCTGATTCCCATTTAGCTGGCCAGTTCCCTCTTCATAGCTACACACCAGCTGAGCACAGACTGATAGCTGCACACATTCTCTAACCCTGACCTGCACCCCAATCCTCCGATGACCAGAGGCTTTCCCAGACCCACCCTAATTCTTACTGGAGTATCATTAGCAGGCCTCAGTAACAACTTGGCTTTAGAGTGTGTTAGGGATCTTGTAGGGCCATATCATCTACCATAGACAGGGCAGTCAAGGGAACTCAGGCAAGTGTTTGGGCATTACAAAAGCAAAGTTGGGCCAACAGTGGTGTGGTGATTAAGGAGCTGGATTCCACATAGCCAATTGTGTCATGGACCCAGTGGCTTGGGTCCAGTGGGTGGTTAAGGTGGCTGGACCCAGTGGCTTGAAAACATCCTGAGTGTATGTGTACTCATGCCTGAAAGGAGGGAGAGATGGGAGAGAAGGGATTGCAGCATGACCATGCCCCACAGGGAGTACTTTCTCACTCTGTCTCCAGGGAACACACCTGCTTGCTTGCAAATTTAAAAGAAAGAAAATTCATTCAAGTGTGTTAATTGGCTCTTTCTTTCCCTTTTTTAATTTGGTAGAGGGTGTGTGTGCTTGCCAGAAGGAAAGTGAGAAAGCAACCCCCATGAGGGATGATCACCACACCATCACTTCTCCTCCACTTCTCCTTTTGGGATTTTGGGCACACACATCTCATGTGTTTTTCAAGCCACTGGGTCCATGACTTGACCTGTGCAGTTGGTCATGTGGCATCCAGCTGCCTTAATCACATCACCAACTGGCCTCAGACAGGTACTTTCTTCATAGCTTGTTTATTTTATTTTATTTTATTTTTTTTATTTTTGGAGAGATTTTCACTGTAGGGCGCGTGCGCTCGCCAGACAGACAGAGAGAGACATAGAGACAGAAAGCGAGAAATCACCCCCCAGGGGGGATGGTCACACCGCAACCCCTTCTCCTCCATTCTCCTCTCGGGATCTTGGGCATGCACGCACACGCGCCCAGCGTGAGTTTTAAGCCACCGGGTCCGGGACACGAACCGCGGTCGATTACGTGGGAGTCCAGCGACATAGCCATTATGCTAACTGCTGGTTCCCTATAGCCTGTTTATTTTTTTGAAAGGTCTTTCCTATAGGGCGCGTGCGCTTGCCAGAATGACAGAGAGAGACAGAGAGACAGAAAGGGAGAAATCACCCCCCACGCCACAATCCCTTCTCCTACATTATCCTCTTGGGATCTTGGGCATGCACGCACACGCGCCCAGCGTGAGTTTTAAGCCACCGGGTCCGGGACACGAACCGCGGTCGATTACGTGGGAGTCCAGCGACATAGCCATTATGCCAACTGCTGGTCCCCATAGCTTGTTTAAAGTAGTGACCACAAATCTAGATGTGTATTAGAACCCCTGAAGAACTCTTAAAAACATAGATTACTAGGCATCTTCTCCAAGAATCTAATTAGGTATGTCTGAAGTGGAATCCAGAAATCTCTCTTCAAACTTCCCAGGAAACTCTAACACTCAAAAAAGTTTGAGAGTCACTGAGTCAAAGCTCTAAAAAATTGATGACTTTTTGGTTCTGACAGATTAAGACCATTCTGACATGAATATTCCCTGAATCACTAAATTCCTCAGTAGTTTATGGACTATGGCAGTTCAAAAAAGCCTTAGTTTGGAGGCTGGAGGTGGTAACAAAAGGCCCGAGGTGTTCAGATCCCTTGCCCAGAAATGTCATTTGTAGTTTCGAAATGTTAATACCTTTGTTAACTTTGGCTTTAGGATGAGAGAAACACTGAAACCAGACCAAAAATGACCTCAGTTTGTAGGGTTTCTGTTCTACCAACTACTTAAACTTGTTCGGAAGACATTTTTCATGAGGCTCCAAAATAGGAATGCATTGTCTAGAATTAAGTTATGGACTTGCCCTCAGTTTTAATCCAATGTATTTGCCAGTTCAATTTGCAACTTGTTATTTTGACACTAATAACCTGAGTTACTAAAAATGAAAAGTACACAAGGACTTTATGAAGCTTTTCTTTTTCTTCTGTTTTGTTCATTTGTTTGTAATCAACAGGATATGCTACTGGGCAAGTAATTTATACAGTCACTGCTTACTCATTACATTTCCTCTGAATTTGGGATTCTAGTTACTATGACATTCTACTTTTTCTTTGGTTTTAGAAAGCGGATGAACGTCCCACCTTCAAAATTCTTCTGAGCAACATCCTGGATGTCATGGATGAAGAATCCTGAGCTCCCTTAATAAGCTTTTTTGGTTCTATTCCTCTCTTCCACAAGTCCCAATTTCACATTTTCTGAGGAAAGCCCAGGTTTACAGGCCCTGGAGCCTTTGAGCTCCCATGAAATACATAAAGGCCCTTCTCTACATCTAGGAACATCTGAGTCCCTGGGACAGTACCTTCTGAGGAAAGGCCGAGGAATTTTGGTTCCTGGTATTACTACCCAGAGAGGAAATTTCCCAAGAGTATTAAGACAGTCTGAATTTGGGTTGGAAACATTTTTGGGGAGGGAGGGATGTAAATAGCCTCACAAGGGGTCCAACAACTCTTTGAGTAGGCATTAGTTGGGATGGGTGGGGGCAGAATTTGGCAAGAATGAAATGGCGTCATGAAAATGGGAGGGAAGGGTGTTTTGATAAAATAAAATGACTGGAAAGCATGAAGGTCTCTGATATCTCAATCACACAACCTCCCTGAAATGCCCTATCTCAGTATTGCAGAAAACGGCTGTGTAGCATTGGTTTGGTATATTCCTTCCTACATTGAGAACTAAACAGGATCCTCGGCATTTAACCCCTTCTTGCTCTGAAGCAGAGATGAATTCACAAGCCAAAGCAATCAAAATTACCTGAATGAATCTGAAACTTGGGAGATTGGGGGGCAAACTCTGCCAGAGTTTAATTTATCTACATCAGGAGGGGGAAACTCTGAAGAACCAGGGCCAGGGGCCCAGGATGGCCAACTGCCAATCTACGGGCTTCAGCAGCCCCGCCTGTGCAAAACCCAGGTAGCTGGCAAAGCGCGGGTCAATTCTGAAACCAGCAGCGGCAGAGCTGTTTGGCCAGTCTGGAATGGGTCACGTGGTCTGAAGTAACTTCCTTTCAATTCTTTTCTCTTTTTTGGAATACCGTCTCGACAGCATCGTGGCGCCAGGTTGGCCGCCGGCGCTGGATTGCGGGCAGGAGCGAGGCCGCTACACTCGGTAGCGGTGCGTGGGCGCCCGAGCGTGGGCGGCGGCCAGGCGGACCTAGGCGGCAGTCTCGCGCCGACGCAGTGAGCTCACGGGGCGGTCCTCAGGGCTGCGGGTCGTAGTTCCGGTTCCGTCGCGGAGACACGTGAAGGTCGGTGAGTTGGTTCAGAGTTCGTCTCAGCACGCGTGGTCGCGCTGGGATGGATTCCTCTTCGTCTTCCTCCGCGGCGGGTCTG